TAAAAAGAGCCCCGTGTACCGGCTGTTAGCCTAGCCTCGCTAGCCGGCTAGCTGAGCAGCTATATAACCAAACGTTAGTTATTCACCAAAAAAAAGGTTACTCTTTCGTCTATTTTGGTATAAACGCCTGCTTTTGTGATGAAAGGTAGTGCGGGGTTAGAAGCCGGTGTCATTTCGTTATATTGTATAATAAGCGAATCTGACAATCGTCCTGTCAATAGTAGTAGCGGGCCCGGAGCGGCTGAGCTACTTCAGAACGGGGAGAAGCTCTGGGAGGCGGCCACAGCAGCCAGGCCAGCCCGTGGTCTGAGCAAGGCCTCCGTGTAATGGTTGTGTGTTTATATGTGGGGGTGAATAGTGTATCTATGTGAGAGAGGGAGGATGGGAATTCGGATTATTTTTTATTATGTAATCGATGCGTTGATGGAAAGAATATTAATAAGCAACCAATTTGTTAATTATTGAAATTATGCAAATAGCAAATATTCTCCGGTTTCAGCCTCTGTCATATGTGACAGCAAAGCTAACATCTGTGGGTTTGGTCTGTTGATCAACAAGCAGAGTGAAGACGTCACTGTATTGTCAAAAACGTCATTTTTCATTTATTAAAGAGCAAACTAAATGGTTAATTGATCCTTTGGAACAATATGGTTTACTGAAGGTGCTCTTTAGCTCTTCTCAGCTCTAGTTAACACTGTGCGCGTTTAATGTGAGTGTTTTGGTGTAAGTGTGGTGTGTCATCAACCAAAGTATGTATTCACACAGAAACACGTTGGAGCTGTGAAAACCAAGCGTTATGTAACTCCACACACAGACCAACACAGTATCACTTATGAACACACACTGTCTCTCTCCATTCAAAGTGGGTGCAAATTCAGCTGTTACTAGGCAACAGGGAGCTACTGAAGGAGTGTGTGTGGGTCCGGCCAATCAGCAGCTTGAGTTCAGATGTGTGTGTGAGTGATGCTGGTGTCCACTGGGACACCTTTTTGTGTCCTTTTGATTAGACTACTGACTCACTCTGTGTGTGTTCGTGTGTAGCGGGGCAGTGCAGGCGGCCGTGTTTTGTGTGAGACTAATCCTGCATGGACTTGTCGCCATGAGCAACAAGGATATGGTTTCCACGGAGACAGGTGAGTCCCATCCACCAGTCTGACATTGTGAAGACACTCACACCTACATATAGACAGCTCTGGCTCTGTTGCTATGGTAACCACCTGTTGTTCCTGTGCTATGAATAGAGTTCAGCTTGGTCTGGCTCTTTTGTGGTTACGTGTGCTCACTGAGACCAGTGTCATGAAGCTAGTTGTTAACTGTTACAGGAGGCTCAGGATTTTCAAGTGTGTGTTAAAAGAACTTGTTAAAATCAATGTAATGATGGTAATGACAGGAGGCTCAGGATTTTCAAGTGTGTCTTAAAAGAACTTGTTAAAATCAATGTCATGATGGTCATCACCTTGCAGACAGGTGTTTCATCTCCATTACACCCGAGTTTGAAGCATCTCTCTGTGCCTGTGTGCAGAGAATAAAGGACAGAGGAAGGTGTTTCTTCCCAACAAGCTGTTGGAGTGTCTCCCTCGCTCGTGCAGTCTGCCGAACGAGAGGTTGCGCTGGAACACCAACGAGGTTTGTACTAAAACATGAACGATCTGCAGCAGATGTGGCCGCTGTGAGTGACAGTCACAGGATCCAAAACAGTGATCAGAAGGCAGCAACCGTTTTCATAATTTGAAACCGCTCAGTGCTGTTTGTGTACTTCACGGGAAACGTAACTGATCTCGCATCAGCTGTTGATTGTGACCCGGTGTTACGGGTTTTTCACACTTTATTCACACATCCAAATGTAAGATAAATTCAAACATGTACAGTGCAGGTGATAACCACAGAGAGAAAACTAAGGTTTGCAAACATAATAAACTTACTGACACAAATGAAGGCAAAGCATAGTTGGCTTTCTGGTTGAACTGCATACAGCACTATTATGACTAGTGATGAGGCTAATAAGGGTGTTTATGTTAACCTGACTTAAAAATTAAAAGTCTTTACAGAAACTCAGGCCCCCCGCCTTTGTGTCTGCAGGAGATTGCGTCTTACCTGATATCTTTTGACAGACATGATGAGTGGCTCTCCTGCACCCTGAAGACCAGGTACACACAGTGAATCAAAGCAAAGCGTCTGGACAGACCTGCCAGACAAAACTGAGGGCAACTAACCTGCCAACATATAGCCCTTAACTGATTCACCAAAGAGTGAATTGGATGACTGCACTTCTCCTGACTCTGTGCTGGTTGTCTGTGTCTCAGGCCCAAGAACGGCAGCATCATCCTGTACAACAGGAAGAAGGTGAAGTACAGGAAGGATGGGTACTGCTGGAAGAAGAGGAAGGATGGAAAAACGACGAGAGAGGACCACATGAAGCTGAAGGTCCAGGGCATGGAGGTCTGCTGCACCTGCAGACTCACACGATACCACTGTTTATTAGTGATGTCACAGTGTGTGTCGGTGACTGACAGGTGTCCTATTCTAGGAGCACATATACAAGTGGCCCAGATCTGATCTGAAAACATCTGATGTGGTTTGTTCACACTTCTGTGGAAACATCAGACCTGAGTCACTTGGAAACATCTGATCAGGGAAACTGCAGCTGGGGTGTGAACATAGTTCTTTAACAGTATACTCAGGCTCACTGTAGTAATATGTCTTTAGATTCTGTACTACCTTTACTATAGTATCAATAATGGAATCATTTTGGAAAGATGATTAAGTATTTGCTAGACTAGCTGAATGTGTTCCCATCCTGAGTATCATTGTTGATGACTAGTTGATGATGCTAATCCATGCTAACTGCTGTGTGTTGTTTCAGTGCCTGTATGGCTGCTACGTGCATTCCTCCATTGTGCCAACATTCCACAGGCGAAGCTACTGGCTGCTGCAGGTACACAGTCTCACCTGTCCTCTGTGCTCTCACACATGTACTGCCTACCTGCTTCATTGACCTTCAGGCAGTGAAGGTCCTCCCCAGCGACACACATGAGAGGGTCAGAATATTAGGAACACCTCTGAATGTTATGTAGTTCAGCACACTACCACCTTCAACTATGACCTCAATAATAAACACAATTGACTTTATATATTTATGACTATTTCACCAAAAACTGAAACATTTTGAGCTTCATAAACACAGATGTTAAGGTGGAAGTGTTGCTTTACAGGTATATTTAATGAAGGGGTTCTTTTCTTGAATCCCTCCTAAAGAGTTAATTATCAACTACTGACATCTAGTGGCCAACGTTTGTGTAGCACCCTAACTTCATACTGCACAGCACAGCTATGGTGGACATGTAGTGGCTAGTGATGTGATGATAGACGGATAGTTCTGTTGGCAGTAAATGTTTATTTGACACTGCTTTTGTAAATGATAAGGTTTGTTACTGATTTTTGCATTTGAAGTAAGAGTCAGTCCAAAATGTTCCCAAACAGGAAGTCCTTGTCTTTGTTGGCTGCTATCTGACAAGTGTCATGCTACAAGTGGTGCAGCATGCTGGAGTAGAGAGAGTCATCCATGTGAACGAGCCTTTACTTAAGCCATTTGGAGTGAGAAACAAATCAGTCACATGATTCTGGCATTGGCCACATGACAGTCGGGGACACGAGGCCTTGTTTAGAACCGCTCCCTCTGCTCGGCAACAAAGAGATGTCCCCACTACTAAGATGTGAAACTGACATTGGAAACTGAATTGAAGTGAGAATTGATCTGTGTGTGTGTGTGTGTGACAGAACCCAGACATTGTGCTGGTCCACTACCTGAATGTGCCGTCCCTGGAGGATTCTGGGAAATGCAGTCCGCTGCTGTGTGCTGTGGCCGACCGCCACGACAGCATGAGGTGGAGCCGAGACGACCTGCTGACCCAGCTGAAGCCCATGTGTATGAAACACACACATGTAGTACATGTTTGTGGTACTGATACTGATGTTGTGAGTACATACATGTTTGTGGTACTGATACTGATGTGAGTACGCAGTATGTGGATATTCTGTGGTGTTAACATGTAGTATCTGCTTCAGTTCACAGTATGAAGTGTTCGGTGGGTTCAGGCGATTTCAGTATTGAGGAGTTGGTTCAACACATTCTGGACCGACAGAGAACCAAACCACAGCCGCGCACACACACCTGCCTCTGTAACACTGCGCAGGGTAACAGGCCTCGCCGTGACATCACTCTGACATCACTGTGACATCACTCTGAGTGGAACTAACTCCTAACTCTCTCTGTGTCTGCAGCGTCTTCAGGAGTGAACATTCCTCACCGCTGCAACAGCACCAAGCATCGCATCATCTCCCCCAAACTGCCTCCCTCCTCCTGCCGACCATCCCCCTCGCCGCTCTGCTCTGAGGCGGTGGAGGCAGTGCAGAGAGCAGGGGAAGGCGAAGCCAAGCTGCCTCACCTCCAGGCTCAGAGCAGCCCCGTCTCGTCTCCCTGCCCCTCCTCCACGTAAGTGCCCTGGCTGACACCTGTTGATCTTAGTCTGGTGGGTCGTGAGTTTGTTAAATAACCATGAACTCCTCTCTCTGTGTTCCAGCTCGGCCTCATCTCCCCCTCAGCCTCACAGAGCCACCATCACCATGAGTAACCGCGGCAACGGCTTTTATGGCGACCGCAACCTGACAACAGTGGCACTGCCTCATAATGCGGTGATTGTCATGACGACGACCACCGACTTTGCTGGAGGAGGGGGGGGCAGGGCCAAAGGAGGGGAGACGGGGCCAAGGAGGAGCCTGTCACTCACCCGCTCTGGCCAGTTGCTGCTCTCTCCTGCCCTCCCTCCTCCTGCTGGCAAGGCCACCTCCCCTTCCCCTCCCTCTTCCTCCTCACCTGCTCCTCCCTCTCTCCCCCCTGCCTCTGTGCAGGCGCCTGGTGTGGCCACCCTGTCCCTCACCCTCCTCCCCTCTCCTGTCATTGGAGGCCTGCTCCTTACCCCGTCTTCATCCAGCACCTCTTCCGCCTCCCTCCGCTCCCCTCCAGCTTCTGCTGCCACTTCTCCTCCCTCGCCCCCTTCCTCACCCACACATCCATCACCTCCCCCATCTCTTCCCCTGGCCTTTGACCCTGACTCCTTCCTCAACTCCCCCAAACAAGGCCAGACGTATGGTGGTCCTCCTCCTCCCTCCTCTTCCACACCCTCCCCTGTCCTCTGCTCTTCCTCCCCTTTGTCTCCCCCCCTCTCCCCCACCTCCACCCCTCCCTCCTCTGTTTCCCCTCCCTCCTCGCTCTCCTGTTCGTCTGAGACAAACAAGAGGGACTCGTCCCTCCCGCTCTGCTTGTCCTCTTCTTCTTCCTCCCTTTCCCTCTCCATGTCTCCCACCTCTTCTGGGGCTCCACCCTTCCTCCCCCTCTGTCTGGAGCTGGGTGCTCTGGAGGAGTCGGAGGGAGACAGGGGGGAGGAAGACCTGAGGGGGAACGAAGAGGAGGTGAAGGACGGGAGAGATGATGACGATGATGAAGGCAGCGCTCCTCCCACCAAGCTGGCTCTGCTGCAGGTGGGGCTTTAAAGGGCAGGTTAATAACTGAACATCAGTGATGAGCATGTTCAGATCAGTGTTTTTGTACTGGCAAAAAAGTTGTTTGACATGACTGTTGGCGGCTGGAAAAACCCTTCTTCTGACCTCAGCTAGGTGGTGGGCGGGGCTAATTTACAGCCCATACTTTGACAACACTGGGTGGAGAAGCTGGGATAACAACAGAAGGGCTGTAGGCAGCAGAGGGTCATGGAGGGGGATGTAGCTGAGAGACACCACATCCTGCTCAGATCTGAATCATGGTATTTAAGTGATCCAGCAGCTGCAGTCCTCTCAGTCTGGGGCCCCACACTGCACACTGTGGGACTACTTTCTTCAGCAGAAACTTGTATCCTTCCACCATGGGTCTCATTTCCAATCCTTTGTCTTTTTCTGTCATTTAGACAAGCCACGCCTCCTCCAGCTCGTTGCCACATCAACAGACAGGGCAGAGCTCTGCTTCACTGCTCCTTGTGTGCCGAGACTCAGCAACCCAACCCTCTCAGCTGGCCAGTCAGACAAAGCGACAGGCTGAGGGACAGCAGCCATTTGCCCTGGAACAACCCTACCTGTCTGCACCTGAAGCCCCATCTCCAGTTCAGATATCCCATCAACCCCTGGTGCTGCAGCAGACATCACGCTTTGCTAAAGCTAACTCAGCCTCTGCTAGTGTCACCATGGCTATCACTCACCTGGCAACACCCCCACTCCAGGTGAAGGAGGAGAGTAGACGGGGCTACAAAACTGAGGATACCTGCATGGATACACACCTAGAAGAAGAGGAGGTGGAGCCACGTGAACCAGGAGGGGAGGAGCTTGACATCTCCTTCGATAGCCAGTTTCCTGACCTCATTTCTGACCTCATCACCGAGGAGGCCGATCCCATCGCAGTTCACCCCGCCACCACACCGAACCCCACTATGTTCCCGGCAGGGGTCCGATATGTGGTGCCCCCCCAGCCTTCACCCTCCTCCTCCTTCCTCCCCTTCCCTCACCCGCTGCCCTCCTCCTCCACCCGCCTCACCTCTATCACTGACTTTTCCCCAGAGTGGTCCTACCCTGAGGTAATCAATCACCAATAATCAGTTACATGACCGCAACAGTTAGTCAGCTGCTTGATCTGCTGTTCAACAGAAAATTAGTCTGTACCTATTTTGATAATCAATCAGATTTCAAGTAAAAATGTAAATATGTGACAGTGTCATATTTTCAGCTGTTGGTCAGACAAAACGCGACGTCTGAACACATCTTCATGAGCTGGGGAATTTATAACTTGTTTTTTGATGTTGTATAGATAACATGATGACTAATCAGCAGATTAATCAATATTAAAAATGCGTTGTGGCGCTGTTGTTATATTTAAACCTGATTGAGCAATGTCTAGTAGGGCTGCAGCTAGTGATGGTTTTTGTGTTACCAGCTGTCCAACCAGTTTACTGTCATTTTGCAACTAAAACCAGTAAACCTGGACACTGGAGAAGCTGGAGCCAGTGATGTTTTTTTTTTTTTTTTTTGCTTGAAAAATAAATAATAATTAGAATGGTTGCCAGTTAAATTTCTTTTGACTGCAATAATGTAGAATAAAACAAAGCAAATCAGATTTTATTAACATAAGAACAAGACATTTTGTTTGTGGTTTGGCCTGGAACAAACACAGAGGCCACAAATACAAACCTGGGGCTGAATTCACTGACAGTAATGACAAAAGTCACCATCAGGTATTCTCCTGGGATGCAGCCACCGCCTGTCCACAGGAGGGCAGCACAGTCCCACTGAGGAGTCACTGTCACGCCGACACAGTCTGACAGAAAACGCTTATTTTATTGTATTTGTATAAACAAGACCCGGTCCTGCTCTGTTACATTTTTAGACTGGTTGATAAAACTGCCTCTGACTTTATCAGTGTCTTAATTCACTGGTATTGTCTCATGTTTTTAGACCAGCTATGTTACTGGTGTGTAGTTACTATGAAGCTTCAGTCTGAGCAGTAGAGTCACTGACTGCTGCTCTGATGCTGCACTAACGTGTGTGTGTGTGTGTTTTCAGGGAGGCGTGAAGGTGCTGATAACAGGGCCATGGAGCGAGCCGTCGGGTCGATACTCCTGTGTTTTTGATCAGAGCACTGTCCCTGCGTCGCTGATCCAGCCGGGAGTGCTGCGCTGCTACTGTCCAGGTAAACACACAGGAGAACTAAATCCACAGTGCACCAGACAAAACAGTAACACTAAAGACAGAAGCACCAGAGTGTCCTCGGAGAACGGCTTTCCTGCTCTGGACATACATGTGAGTGTGGACATTACTCCTGCCCTGTGAGTGAGTCTCTTGATAGTGTGACTCAAGTGTAGCTCAGCTTTAATACATGTTGTTATCACACCCCCGTAACTGTGGGGGATAAGAGGTCTATGGTGTTATAGTAGAAATAAGTGTCTGAAGTTGAGAGTGTGGGTTTGATCAGGGAGTGTGTAGAATCACAAAGTGAACCAGACAGAAGTGTGAAAGGTGTCAGTCACCTCTCTGTAGCTGAAGCACATGTCTGTGTCAGTGTTTATTTTAATAAGCCTCTGACCTGACGGCTCTGTGTCCCCTCTCTCAGCCCATCAGGCCGGTCTGGTGTGTCTGCAGGTTCTGGAGTCCGGAGGTTCAGTTTCTTCTTCGGTTCTGTTTGAGTACCGAGCAAGGAACGCCAGCTCTCTGCCCAGTTCTCAGCTCGACTGGCTCTCGTTGGACGGTTAGTACAACTCCTCCTCCACCTCATGTACACCATAACACATCAGCTACCGGGTGAAAAGAACAATCAGCAGTGACAGGATGTGTGAGGCTGAACACAGTCTGTCCTTTTGTTAGTTTATGTGAACACTCCCCAAAGCACTGTGGGAGCTGTAGTTCCAACACTTAACCCAATAAGAGTGTGATTAATAACAGTAGTCCATGTTGATTGTCCTCTGTCTAGATGTCCTCTGTGCAGATATTTGGTCCATGTTGGAAACCCGTGGACGGTTCTAAATTGTGGTTTAGGGATGGTGACGGGATTTTGTGTGGGGGCGCCCACGTGCCCGACTGTAAACCCCTGCGGCAGCGTCACCACCAGTGAGGACAGAGACAGACATGTGTTTGTTGGCAGGCTGCCTGCTCTCTCCTCTCAGGAATCCAGTTTATCCCTTCATCTCTGTCCATCTGTCTGCCAGCGATTGATAGGGTGGAGCTGTTCTCCACTGTCATCACCTGAAAACACACACGCTCATCAGGGCAGCTGCTATTTCTGGCTCTGACTGAAGCTGTGTGAGCTCCACACACTCACACACAGGGCTGTGCTTGAGCAGCGTATGACTGAATGCGAGTCCAGAATCAAGTCCACGTATCAACCTACTGAGTTTGTCTTTCATCATTTGTCAGTAACTGCAGTTATAAATATCCAGTTCAGCTCTGGGATCAGCTGTTGTTCCTGCAGTCTTTAGTGACAGCTACTACATAAATCAGCATTAACATGAATGAAACAGTCTAATTCATGGAAACGCCAGCAGCTCCAACCTGAGCAGCAGATCTGAAGTATTGACTGACATACGTCTACACCTTAGTTTTCACAAACAACTTGATTCAAATAGTGATCAATGCTGAGCTCCAAGTGTTGATTTGTATTTGGTTAACGATCAGCTGATCATGGAAACACCTTACACCCCCCGTTTAGCCCTTCATGAACATTTCCTGATTAGCTTAAAATGTGCTGGTGCAGCAGAATCAGCCAGTAACAGAGACTGTATGAGCAGTTTATCAAAGAGCTGTTAAACAAAAACAAACTTGCTGAAAAGTGACATCTTCACTGCTTTGCCCTCGGGCCACTTGCTGAAGTCCTTGTTTAGCTCCTGGAACTCTTGAGTGTAGTGGAAACAGGCAGAACCTGGGACAAGGGTGCAAGCTAAACTCAGTTACGGGTTGGAAGGTTCCTAGTGGAAAAGGCCTGGGAGGGGTTGATCTTCACTCCCATCTTCTGCAGCACAGCGAGCACATTAAACAACAAACTGGGGTTTCAGTGAAGTTTAACATTAACTAGCCATAGCTGATATCGCATGTCACCGGTTTGTTGTCTGTCACGAACGTGCGTTCATAAGGTCACTTGAAGTTCACAGTAAAAAGATTCTTTTTATAACTGTGAACTTGTCTGAGGTACCACTCAGTACCACAGTGATCCAGTGATAGCTGTGTGTACATCCACGGTGCATTGCACACAGGAGCTGCTCGCTGTCGTTCTGCCGCTGTTGATGGACACACAATCTATGGGGCCGTGGGGTGGGCAGGTACAGTGTCATACTTTATGTTAATACTCCAGCTGTTGCGTCTAATGACCCATGAGGTCTCTGCGTGTCCGTCATGCACCTCTTCCTTTTCCTGTCCTTCCTTCATGGCCATGTTTCACTGGATCTTCTCTCATTTCCTCCTTCACGCTCACGTCTTCTGTCTTCATGCCGCCCCCGTCTCTCTAAACTCCGTTGGAGGTTTCAGGATCAGATCCAGGAATGTCACACAGTCAGTTGAGACACACTGTCAGCCACATTCCACCCCTACCCCCATCTCACTCTTCCCTCCCTCACGGTGGATTTCCCACCATGCTTTGCTGCTGTATTTGGACTTCCAGCCTGCAGACTGCATTGGATGACCAAGCAGACACTACTCCCTCTCTCTCCCTCTGGCTTTAAGTCGGCCTGATCCTCATGCGTCCGCTCAGCCTGTGTGGGACTTAATTTAGTGTGTGTGTTAAATCTCTCATCAGCTCGTGTGTGTTAACTTATCCTGTGGCAGCATAACATACCCAAAATGCTCTTCACCTGTGCTCCCTGCTCTGACACTGAGCGAGAGACATAGAGATAGACAAAGAGACACTTATCCTGTGGCAGCATAACATACCCAAAATGCTCTTCACCTGTGCTCCCTGCTCTGATACTGAGCGAGAGACATAGAGATAGACAGGGTGATTTTCTGACAAAGAGACGGAAGATGGACGGACAGCAGCGAGATGACACACAGCAGCAGGATGGTGTCGGTAGGACCAGCCCTGTGTGTGTGTGTGTGTGTTTGCAGTGTTGTCGTGATTAGGCAGCTGCTCAGTAACCATGGCAACCACCTACAGGTGACAAATTGATAGTGAAGTTGAGGAGATATAAAGAAGGAGAGTCTGGTCTGCAGCTGGTTTTTACTCCTGTTATCAGAGCAGCTACAGATGAGCTTCACAATCAACCAGAAGTTTTTATAAAACCAATACTGTCTTCAGGTCTTGGGTTTTCCACCCACCAGTCAAACACCTGTGAGGTGTCTGATTCATGAGTCTGCTGAATGTGCTGTGGCACCGAGGAGGGCTTTGTGGAGAAATGGATTAAATTGCCATTTTTGTCCATCAGGCTATACTCAGTAACCTGTAATGGCAGACTGAAAACATGTTGCTAGAAATGTTTTCACTCTTCTAGGGTCGGTCTCTACCAGCTGTGCACACCTGGATTTGGGCAGATTATGCTGGTTGTCCTGGCAGAAACTCTCAGGCTCTGTCAAACAGGATGGGAAGGGTCTGTGAATTCTTGGCTGGGCCCCTCGGGGACAGTCAGAGCCTGGTCCTGACGCTGCTCCAGTGTCTGAGCCGGTCACTGTGGGGCTGAAAGGTGAACTGTGCCCCAGCCGCAGGGTTTCTTCAAGCACCTCTCTGTGTTTGGCTGGATTCATTTTTCCATCAGGTCTGACCAGTCTCCCTGTGCCTGCCCCTGAGAAGCCCCCCCACAGCAGGATGCTGCCCTCACCATGTATTACTGTAGGGATGGTGTTAGCAGGCGATGAGCAGAGCCCCGGTCCAGTTCAGTTTGCCTCCTCAGACCAGAGAGTCTTTGTCCTCCTGCTCTCTCTGTCCTTTAATGGACACCAAGCAGCTTCATCTGCCTTTCACTCGCTCATAGTGGCTTCTGTGTTTTTGTCTGAATAACTCTGAGTTTTGACCAGAACAAACGGGGGGTTTAAACATGCCAGCTTGCGCTGTGGGTACTTGTTCTGGGTGGGTTTTTTATATTTATGTTACTGATTAAATGAATTCATATAGAAAAAAGTGACAAAATGACGGGTGGCACAAATAATTGTTGCAGCTGTGCTGGAGAGCAGGGAACCCCCAGTGTGTCCAGGTCTCGTTGTATCGGGCTATATTAGGGAGTGTGCTTTTATCCCCTCACACAGGGTGACGGTGCCAGACAGCAGCGTGATTGAAGTCAGTCGAGATAGTTTCCATGTGAGACGGTGTGGGTTAAAGAGGCTCTGAAACAGTTATTTAGGAGAGGAGTTTCCATGTGCCTCCTGTTAAGAGCTGCTGACACACCGGCCTCACAGACTTTCTTTGCCAGCACATTACTAGTTAAACCCAGGTCTGCAACGATAAGTCGTTTGACTGAAAATTACCGTGTTTTTGATATTTGATGAATCTGGAAGCCTCTACAGTACCACGAGGCCTCACTCTGCGTGTCTCTGCCTGCAGATAATCAGTTCAGGATGTCCATCCTGGAGCGACTGGAGCAGATGGAGCGCAGGATGGCCGAGATGGCTGCCTGCGACAACAACCAGCAACAACAACAACAACAGAGGCAGCAGCAGGGCAATCAGCTGGCTGCACCGCCACCACCACCCCTGCCTGAGGACCGTGAACAGGTGAGGGCAGTGAAATAAGGTGTGAGCAGTGAAGTCAGTTTTGGATTGATCTTGGTGAACAAGGTGAAAATGTTCACACAGAATGAACAACTTTTGTTTGTTGCTGCTGCTCTTCAAAATGTTGGCATTTAAATGTTCAGAGCCTCCCTGAGGAGCAAGAAACAGTTCAGTCAGTTTGAACAAAAAGCACAGCATGAGAGCATCACACAAACTTATACAATGTTAGTCCAGGACTGTAAAGCACACGCAGACTGCAGTATGTGGTGTTAAGTCAGCCAAGCAATATGAAAACAGCCTCTCGGGTGAACTGCATTCATCAGGACGACTGCAGCGGCAGCACAGTCATCACTCGTGATGATGCCACATTTCTCTGCTGGTTGGAAACTGTATTGAAACTTCAGTAACAAATCAACACTCAAAACACTACGGGGTGCTGCACAAAATACAGAAGGACCACACAACCACAACGAGGCGACTGCAGAACATCGGCACAATGAGAGAAGAAACAAAAGCACAGTGACCAGAACGAGAGGCACTCTGTCCACACAGGGACGACAGCCTCAGAGCTTTCTGCTTTGCTTTGTTTAATATTGTTGTGAAGTGGTTTTGGTTTGTTGGACAAAACTAGACTTTTAAAGATGAGCAATTGAGCTACAGGAAACTGTGGTGTCATTTCTCCCTTTGATAGCCAAAACAATTAGTCGGTTCATTTAGAAAATGACTGTGGATGCACTCCTGCATATTTATAAAAAGCAGTGGTGAAACAGGAGGCTTTACAGAATCAGGTCATATTCAGACACTATGAATGTTAGATGCACTGTGCAGATAAACTCAGAGTTTTCTGTCTAACTGGAGAAACGGTCTGTAAATGAGCCGCACAGCAGGTGATCAGGCAGTTACATAAAGGTGACTGAAGACCTGGGTTGAGCCTGTCGCCTGCTAAACAGGTTAAGAGGAACAAATCGGCCTGAATGGAAACTCCCTTTAAAGCATCTCTGCAGCATGACCTCTGCTGAACTGAGCCAACTCTACCTCTCCCTCTGATGTCATGGGGAGTTTGGCAGATCGAGTCCTGAGTTAAAATAGACTTGACGTGACAGCGATGGACACAGTGAAAGCTGACCTTAACTAAAACAATTACAGCTGCAGACACGTTAGCTTTGCAGCCGATGAAATCAGTAGTCTCCAGGTTTGCCTTTCAGCCAAAATGTTTCTGGCCTGTTTGTCGTAGATAAGTCAAGTGATTTATTGTCACTGACTGCGATGCTAATCTGGGTAACATGGTGTTTTATGCAGCTTTATTTTCTGGCACCGTCTTTAGCCAGTGTGCAGCAGGGCTGCCGAACATGTAAAAATGGGGTTAGTCCAGAGCAGGACACGCTGAGTGTATGAAATGTCTTTTAATGGAGCAGTTCTTTCAAGGAGACTCCTCAACAGCTGCTTATACACTCAACACAAGTTACTCAACTCAGATGTCTCGTGTCTTGGCCCGGGACACTAGTAGAAGTTGTTGTGTTCCTCTGTCCTCTAAAGTTGTAATAAAGAGCAACTTAACACTCGAACACGCCCTGTTCACACATTGAAAACAATCAAGCCCTGACACGGCTGTGAACGCTGAGATCAAGTTGCTGCGTCGTTTCCTGTCAGTCCTTAGTGTGTGATGGAACGGGAATGGCAGACTCCGCCACTACTAACAAAATGTATAGAGAGAGAATTACTGAACGTACCTAGACTGAAGCAGCTCAGAGCGTGAGGCCATGGGTCTGCTCGGAAACGCTGGGTCAGGAGTTGAGTTGTTGCCCCACGTGAAGCAGTTTAAAGATCTCTGGGTCTTGTTCATAGAGATGAGATCACAGGTACAAGTGGCCAAAATGAGTTTCATTGAGAGATAAGGTAGGGAGTTTTGACATCCAGTGCTCCGTGGCATCAAAATGAGCAGGCTGAGCTGGTTCTGATCAGGATCCTCCTGGGCGCTTTCTATTGGAGGCTTACTGGGCACATCCACTGGTAGGTGATGCCCAATGGAACATGCTGGAGAGTTCATATATCTCTACTGGCCTGAGAACGTCACAGGGTTTCCCAGGACGAGCTGGAAAATGTTGCTGGGTGAGAGTGACATCTGGATTACCTTGTACTGAAGCAGGGTTTCCAGATGAGCACTGCAAAGATTTTAGTCACATTGGTTGATTAACTGCTGCGTCAGGAGGCATCTGATGTGTCCCAGATTTATCCTGCAGCCCAACACTGAGCTCAGACCACCTCAGTCACAAAGGTCTATGTCCAGAGACCAGAAGGACCAGGAGTCCTGCAGCAGGTGGTCTGGTGCCCACAGAGCCCTGGAACCAGCATCATGGAGTCAGCCTGGGACCACATGCAGACAGAGAGACACTGAGACAGCCTGAATCCACAGCTGAACTGTGGCCGCCTCTAAGATACCAACAAGGCACCTGCCCAGCACATGGAGACACTGTGCAGGTGGACCGAGGAGACCTGGGCTGGTTTAAGGGCAAAGGCGATCACAGCAAATACTGGTCTGGTTTAGGTTTGTTCTCTTTGCTGCACTCTGGTATTGAAAGTGTCCTCCCTTTTGGTGCTTGAAACATTTATAGAGGACTGTACACTGAATGGCTGTAACAGTGAATAATAAATAATAAAAACCATCTCAGACAATAAAAACCTGAAGGGTTGTGGCTTTAGTGTTGTGTTAGCCTGTTAGCGTTGTCACTGCCGTGTGTCTGAGGGCTGGTTTGCTGTGTGGGTGTCAGCCCCGAGAGCAGGATGGATGGTCAACAGCTGGTCTGATAACACGAGGGCTTCCTAGCTTCATACTGCTGTTTGATCACAGCCTCACTCGCTCATGTGTATCACACAGGGAGGGGCAGAAGAGGTGTACAGTAAGACGGGGGGGGGGGGGGGAGGTATGAATGTAATGTTTCCTACCAGCTGGAGGGAGGGGGAGGGAGTGACAGCACAGAGGGTGAGGTAGTTAACCTGAAACAAAGTGCTGAGAGGGTTCGTCAGCAGTCAGGAGTCATTTGTACAGCAGAACCTTCTCTGGTTTCAGGGGACATTTGTAATTAACACAGCTGATTAATTAAAGAAAGTATTAATCAGTTTAACAGTCAGGTGTTAAGGTGATGTCACCTCAGGTGTGTTAACCTACTGTCTCTCTGTCCCAGTCCTCGCAGTGGTTTGAGAGGAGGATTGTCAGAGTATGTGAACGGATGATGAGGGGAGGACGGTGGGGAGGAGGAGGAGGAGAGAGGCTTCATCACTCTGCCCGTCACCGCGGGATGACACTGCTCCACCTGGCTGCTGCACAGGGATACACACATCTGATACACACTCTGATCCACTGGAGGTACACACACACACACATCTGTCATAGTATAGTTGTGAGGACCCTCATTGGCCCCTGACCTAAACCTGGGTCCGACCTGACCCCCAAAACCAAGCCTGAACCCTCAGACAGGCCTTTGAACATGTCCTCACTCCAGTGTCTGAAACTCAGACTGGTCCTCACGGTGTATATCCATACACACCTGATACACATTGCGACCCACTGCAGGTGTTAAACCACAGATGTTGTTGTTTTAGGAGCGTTAACAGCGACAGTTTGGACCTGGAACAGGAAGTTGACCCTCTGAACGTCGACCACTTCTCCTGCACCCCGCTGGTAAATAGTACAGTTAACATGTTTAAGTCCATGATGGATGCTGTTACTATGGTCACCAACAGTTTGAGTCCCTCTGACATAAATCAAGGTCACTGTTACATAGCAGCGTTTTGGTTTAAGCACCCCCTGTGGTCTGTGTGTGCAGATGTGGGCGTGCGCTCTGGGCCACCAGAGGGCAGCAGAGCTGCTGTACGGCTGGAACAGCCTGGCTCTGGGAATCCCCGATTCGCTGGGACGCCTGCCACTCGCCGTCGCTCGCTCCCGGGGACACACCCGCCTCGCCACAGCACTGGAGGAGCTGCACACACAGCACACGCACACACATGCACACGCAACCCCCAGGAAGACACACACGCCTCCAGCAGACACGTACAATCCAGCCACGCCTCAGTCACAGCTGCCCCCATCTCCTTTGTCCACCAGCCCAGACACAGGTAACGCACACATGCCCCTGCTGCTGATCATGTGATGGCATTCTAGCTCTCTGATTGGTTGGAATTGATTGGTTCCTACTCCTCCCAGGTCTGAGTTGCTCCAGCAGCCTCCCTTCCCCTAGTGACCCTTCTTCCCCCTCCCCGAGCTCCGCCTACTCCAGTGGCCCTGCTCCCATGGAGACATCCCCCTCCTCCCCCTCATCTCCTTCCTCCTCCTCTTCCTTGATGCCTCTCTCCCCTCCCTCTCCCTCCTCCCTTCCTGCCGTATCCATGTGGGGGGAGGAACCAGACTCTGCTCTCAGCACAGGTACCGCAGGTAATATTACTGTTCCTCCGTGTTTAGTTGCTCTGTTTCTCGTCCCTCGTTTGTGTTGTTGATCATTATAATCAATCTCATAGGTTTGATCCCCAGCAGTTCCAGAGACTCTTCTCTTTACCTCATGGACTATGAGTCCACCTCCCCTGACGACACACACACTTACACGCATGTACACACAGCAGGTGGGCAGCGTTCGCACACCGCAACGGCGCTGGAGGAGCAGCTGCTGAGCTACAGTGAGAACACTGAGAATGAGGGTGAGGAGGAGGAGTACCTGGAGGAGGAGGTTCTGCAGGTACACACACCTTTACAGCTCAGCTTAAGCTCAAAGTTCTGTTCCACAGTTGTGCTACATGTAACAGCTAAGCTCAGTCCTCGACCATAGTCCCTGAATTTAGTTCCCTAAGTTAAGTTAGTGTAGTACCTGAGTTTGGCGTCAGGTTTTAGTTTGTGGTTTTAATGTGCACATTTAGTTTAGCCCCAGAGTGCAGTTTTTGTGTTTAGCCAGTGAGGGTAACCCTTGACGTTAGTCCTGTTGTTTAGCCCCATGTTTAGTAGTTGGGTTTTGCCCCAGAGTTTAGTTCTGCCTGGTTGGGAAAGTGTAGATGTTCCCAGGAACCTGGTGATATAATTCAGACCACACACATCAAATCTACAGTAACCATGGATGTCTTGACTCCCTGTTGCTCTGGTAACCCTCTCAACACAACAGGTTGACATGGCAACTCTGGCAGAGCACATCATCGAGGCGACCCCGGAGCGAATCAAACAGGAGGACTTCCCCGTGGGGGCGGATTCACCACTCAGAGAGAGGCGGGACAACCCCACCATACAGGACACCTGGCTGGCTACTTACCTGGACACGGTCGACGCACACACACACTCCCCACCCAGGTAAGCCACTAAACGATGCCCCACACTGTAGTCCTTTGTATGAAGTGTTACCATAGAAACAAGTGTGACCTGTGCACCATGTGATGACCAGGTAAGAACAGAGGTATGGATGGATGTGTTTGTATTGCAGGCGAATGTGCCCCCCCTCCCCCCTCAGCGCTCTGGCCCTCCAGAGGCTCCGCCCACCATCTTCTGCGGCATGGGCAGAGTTTCTGAATGCCTCTGCCAATGGGAAGATGGAGAGAGACTTTGCCCTGCTGACGCTGACGGACGGCGAGCAGAGGGAGCTGTACGAGGCCGCCAGGATCATCCAGAACGCCTTCAGGCGATACAAGGTTCCTAAACCTAACTGCTGCTACGGGTTTCACTGTGTTCTCTGTATGACTGATGCATATAGAACTGCTCATATTTACTGAGCTCCTGCAGTGTTCTTAACGAGCTGCAGTGGTCTCCACCCTGGAGGCCAGAGAGCTCTACACCTGACTAGTGCTGACCAGGGAGGTAACGACTCACCAAATCCACGGTTCAGTTCAGACCTCGGTTTCCAGGTGACCTCTGTGTTGACTGGTTCATGTGCACTCAGCTTATCAAACCGTTTTCCCCCTCTCTCCCCACACCTCCTGTCATTGACTGTTTAAAATGAAGGCGAAGGCGCCTCCTCTAGTCCAGACTTTAGTCCTTGAGCTTTAGTCTAATCTCCACGTTTTACTTCCTGAGTTCACAGTGAGAGACAACAACATCACACTGTAGTAGCAAAGTTTAGTCCCTGAGTTGAGGCCCTGAGTTCTTCTCCCTAGCTTAGTTCCAGAGTCTAGTTTCTATATAAGACTAGACTTTTGATTTTTATCTCCTGGAAGTCCACGCTAGCTACCGAGTCTACATTCCAACGTGGTCTAATCGTGGCCAAATCCGATCTCTGATCATGACTTTTGATTTTTATCTCCTGGAAGTCAACGCTAGCCACTGAGTCTACATTCCAATGTGGTCTAATCGTGGCCAAATCTGATCTCTGATCACCTAAACTGTCAGCGTAAGTCCCTGCCTTTAGTTGGATGTCGCCAGCTGAGAGGCCACATGTTGCCTGTGGATACACAACTAAAGACTGCACACATGTATTTTTCTGAATTTACCATGGAATCTGTCCAGGCCTTCAGGATCAGTGGGTAGAAACCCGTGCCACTGCATAATGGTGTTAGCTGGTGTTGTTTATGGACCTGGTGCATGTCCTCCTCCCATTGGATCAGTAGACGTTTTAATAAGTTTGTCCCAGTTTTGTTCTCATGCATGCTCTTGGGGATGCGTGGACAAAGGCTGAGCTGAAACATTTAGTTTCATGTGAAATGAAATACATGATTGTTTGATGAGTAACACTGACGGGAAGCAGAAGCCTTGATTCTGTAACTGTAAATGTTTGTTCCTCCCACCTCTGTGTCTTCAGGGTCGGAGGTTAAAGGAGCAGCAGGACATGGCTGCAGCCGTCATCCAGAGATGCTACAGGAAGTACAAACAGGTGTGTGTTAATGTGTGTGCGATGGATTGTACTGATTTGTCTGGAAGCTTCACTAACACTGAACTAACCTGCTGTGTCTCTTCATCTCTCTCTCTGGTTAGCTAACATGGATAGCTTTGAAGGTAATATGGCAGACCAGTAGCTGTAGTACTGTGTAGGCAGTTCATCTTCGTCTCTGTGTGTGTGTGTGTGTGTGTGTGTGTGTGTGGCTAGAGCCGGCGTCCCACCCGGTACAGGTGGATGCTGTGTCCTGTGATGTGAGTCCTCCCCATGACCGTCACTTTCATTGTGTGGTTAGATGCTGCAGAACATTTAATTAGTTAATTAGTAATCCCTGCCTCAGGGTTAATGAATATCACCTACATGGCCAAAGGTAGATGAACATTCTCTTCATACGATTTGTGGCCAATCTGTACAGTGCACAGCCACATTCATCCAGCTGAGCCAGAAGACAGAACTCTCAGTTTACCAGTGGATGGACGTTCCAGCCCTTGGCCCTGGTCACGAGCTTGGAGTAGTGTTAAAGGATGGACGGGTTTATGTGTCATTCCAAAAGTCTTACATTTAACTGAATGGACTGTGCACGAGTTTCGTCGTTTACTTTCACTGCAGAGAAACTGTAATAAACCTTAGGGTCTGTGATTGTTTTGTCATGATCACAGAATTTGGCTTTTGATTTTTAGACCATGCAAACTAACTTTGAGCACTTTGAGGTGTGGGGTTGGTTGAAAATAAAGAATCTTAGCGATTACATGTACAGCTCAAAGACAGGATATAGTGTCCAAACACCTTTGGCCATGTAGTGAGAACTGGCTGAGACTAAAGACCCAGTTCAGATCGGTCTGAGGTTCAGTCTGAGCCGACATCGCCGGCAGGTGATCGAAGTGGTTCTCAGAGCTCGCTATGTTCTCTTCATCTGTGGTTTATTCCTCTAAGCAGACTGTACACTTCCTGTTGTGTTTGTTCTCTGGCTGTGTATGAACGCTAACAGTGCCGCTCTGTCCCTTCAGTATGCTCTCTACAAGAAGATGACCCAGGCGGCCATCTTGATCCAGTCTAAGTTCAGGTCGTACTATGAGCAGAAGCGTTTCCAGCAGAGCCGGCGGGCGGCCGTCCTCATCCAGCAGTATTACCGCAGCTACAAGGAGTACGAGCGGCTCAAGCAGGCTCCACGAGGCGCCGCCAGCCACAACCCCAAGATCAAGTAAGAGCTGATCAGCACATAGAGCACTAACACATCCAGAAGTCTTAGTGAGAGCTGGCACGGAGACGTTCAGCCGACTCCAGAACCACGGAGTTGGCTTTGGCACGACGTGAGATATTCCAGTGTCTGAGTCAGAACATGTGAAGCATGTGAAGGTGGGCAGTCAGTCAGGAGACATGAGACAGAGAAACACAATCACCCTCCACGTCGCTGAACACCCACTGAAGGCAGCAGTTGATTGATTAAAGGCTACTGATCAGCATCGTGTCAGGTCACAGAAAGCATCCTGCCTATTCCACTAAGAACACCCACCGCTTACAGGTGAGCTCAGACTGAATGGGTGTTACAGTTCCTCTGACTAAAGGGTGTGATACACAAGGTCCAAATGTGTTAGAAGTCACAGTCCGACGGCTGCTGCAGCCTCCTGAGTGATTTATTTAGTCGTCAGTGTACGGCTGCAGTCAGCAAACGGCTGGCTGAGCGCAGCGTCCGGTTCACCTGAGCTTTGTTTTAGTTTACACCAGAAACACACTGCCAACACACTGATGGCTGACAGTGGGTATTGATTATTGCCAGCACATCCCGATTGCGCCTAGCAGGTCTTGGTCATTGACAGTAAGCAGCAGGTATTGATTATGTGCCCATCAGGGGGTCGTTCTTGACGAAGAAACAGGACCAGGCAGCCAGAAAGATCATGAGGTTTCTGAGACGCTGCAGACACAGGTAACACACACATTTACATTTTCACCGGCCGCAGTTTGGTTGTGACATTCTGGATAGTGGTTAAATCAGCGACTCCCCTCCCGGTTTTATCTCTGCAGGATAAAAGAGCTGAAGCAGACGAGGGAGCTGGAGAGGAGAGGACTGACCACTTAAACCCTGTCTTCATTTCATCCCTTCTTCCAACAAAGGAGAGGAGAAGTAAGGCGGAAGAGGAGAGACGGATAACAGAGATGTTCTTAATGTTGTCTGATGGCGAGAGACTGACAGAGCGATGCCTTACCCAGCGCTGACTCTTTCTTCCTTCCTCCCTCCTCTCCTCTGCTTCATCTGTCTGTCCATCTGTCGTCTGTCTTCTCCCCTGGTTCAACATAGCTGTGTGTCTGCAGCTTAGAAAGAGCTCCATTCAAAAATGTCACACGTCCTGTTGCTCAGTCTTACAGGCACAGGATACTTGGTTTCTTTTGCCCTGAGCAGCACCTTGCAGGAGGCAGAGCAGATACAAACTGTGGAAATCTGAGGTCTTTCTCAGTACTGAGTCCACCAAGGTGGTCCAGACTTTCAAGGACCAGAGGACGTTGTCCAGTCAGTGAGCGTCCGGTTCACGAGCTCAGATTGGCTCTGAGGATTCACTGTACCGTACACCTGACTCAGAGGTCAGGTCAGTACCCTCTGTCCACCACGTTGACAGTGAGACACAGTCTGTTGTTCACTACTCCTTTTCATCTATAGATGTTTGGTTTTTTTTTTTATTGACGTTGTGTGATATCTGTACAGACAGGGAGCCCTGAGTCCACAGAGGCAGCACTGTCACAGCGTTGGATGTACTGTGTATTTACTGAATATGCATGAATGGATTAATTCATGCTAAGTATTTCTACTCGCAGCACATTCAGGTCATTCATTTCAGCTTCCAGAATTTTCAGACATTGCAGTACAGTCAACAGTGTGTTTCCTCTTTTTTAAGATTATTTTTGGCTTTTTGTTTTTGTTTCACCATCGATAGTGTCTTAGGCAGACAGGAACCCACAGGCAGCTGGTAAAACAAGCAAAGCTGGTCTCAACCCGTCCACTCGACTGTGGACACTGTTGTAACCATTCGGTTGTCAGGACATTTACATACATTTATATCTTCTGTTTAAGATGAAACCAGTGGTGGATGACCCAAAAAGAGCTGCAGAGATGTGACACTTCTCTCAGTTTTGATAAGTCCAGTGTATACAGTATTGTTCAAAATAATAGCAGTACAATGTGACTAACCAGAATAATCCAGGTTTTTAGTATATCTTTTATTGCTACATGGCAAACAAGTTACCAGTAGGTGCAGTAGATTCTCAGAAAGCAAACAAGACCCAGCATTCATGATATGCACGCTCTTAAGGCTGTGCAATTGGGCAATTAGTTGAAAGGGGTGTGTTCAAAAAAATAGCAGTGTGGCATTCAATCAGTGAGGTCATCAATTTTGTGAAATAACAGGTGTGAATCAGGTGGCCCCTATTTAAGGATGAAGCCAGCACTTGTTAAACATGCATTTGAAAGCCTGAGGAAAATGCGTCGTTCAAGACATTGTTCAGAAGAACAGCGTACTTTGATTAAAAAGTTGATTGGAGAGGGGAAAACCTATAAAGAGGTGCAAAAAATTATAGGCTGTTCAGCTAAAATGATCTCCAATGCCTGAAAATGGAGAGCAAAACCAGAGAGACGTGGAAGAAAACGGAAAACAACCATCAAAAGGGATCGAAGAATAACCAGAATGGCAAAGGCCCAGCCAATGATCAGCTCCAGGATGATCAAAGACAGTCTGGAGTGTTTGGGGGTCGTCTCACAAACTGTCTGTGGCCCTTGGACCCAAAAAGAACAATTTTACTCTCATCAGTCCACAAAATGTTTCTCCATTTCTCTTTAGGCCAGTTGATGTGTTCTTTGGCAAATTGTAACCTCTTCTGCACGTGCCTTTTTTTTTAACAGAGGGACTTTGCGGGGGATTCTTGAAAATAGATTAGCTTCACACAGACGTCTTCTAACTGTCACAGTACTTACAGGTAACTCCAGACTGTCTTTGATCATCCTGGAGCTGATCATTGGCTGGGCCTTTGCCATTCTGGTTATTCTTCGATCCCTTTTGATGGTTGTTTTCCGTTTTCTTCCACGTCTCTCTGGTTTTGCTCTCCATTTTAAGGCATTGGAGATCATTTTAGCTGAACAGCCTATAATTTTTTGCACCTCTTTATAGGTTTTCCCCTCTCCAATCAACTTTTTAATCAAAGTACGCTGTTCTTCTGAACAATGTCTTGAACGACGCATTTTCCTCAGGCTTTCAAATGCATGTTTAACAAGTGCTGGCTTCATCCTTAAATAGGGGCCACCTGATTCACACCTGTTATTTCACAAAATTGATGACCTCACTGATTGAATGCCACACTGCTATTTTTTTGAACACACCCCTTTCAACTAATTGCCCAATTGCACAGCCTTAAGAGCGTGCATATCATGAATGCTGGGTCTTGTTTGCTTTCTGAGAATCTACTGCACCTACTGGTAACTTGTTTGCCATGTAGCAATAAAAGATATACTAAAAACCTGGATTATTCTGGTTAGTCACATTGTACTGCTATTATTTTGAACAATACTGTATATGAAACCCACTTTCTCGCCTGAAAATACATGAGCACTTAACTTTGTTGTAAAAAGACGAGAGTCAACGCAGCTGTGAGCCTGGCTCAAACTGTCCACCAGTGGCTGCTGTGAAATGCACGCTGGGATACTTGTCTGATAAAACAGGTGGAGTAAGAACACTTCAGGTCACCTGGACTGAACCTGTCCAGATGTGGTCTAAGACTAGGACTCCTAGGAGGCACAGCTCAGGACAAAACAAGCCCAGGAGGTTCAGGGTCTGTCTCCTCCTTCCCATAATTCACTGCTGCTTTACTGTAAAGGACCAGGACCAGCAGGACTGTGGGGTCACCTGGACAAACCAGACCCAGACTAAGAGTAAATCTGAATCTGTGATTTTTCCTGGTGTCAGATCAGTGACGTTCATACAGGTGTGTAACACTTTTGAACGGGGCTCGTCATTTGGAGTACACATACTGTGTACTTCAAAGTGTACATGATTATAACAAAGCTACTTATAAATGTATTTAAACACAATCACACACACACACACACACACACACATATATATATATATATTCTAAAGTGGGACTTTACAGATGCTATGGGTGTTTTATTTATTACAGCATGAACTGCTAGTGTGTGTGTATGGGTGTGTGTGCTGCTGCACAGACTGTAGGGTCGAGTCTTAATACCCCCCACACCCCCGTCACCTCTGACCTCTACTTTTTAGGCAAAACAGTTAAGACAAGTTTCCATATTGGAACTAAACACTTTATTTAATTAAATGTAACATCTTACAAAGTGACAGCGAAGATCTGAACAGGTAGAAATGATGCTGAACAAAATGAGCATGACAGTAGCTCATGGAGATAAAGTTTGGCTCTCCTTATCTCTGATGTCCTTCCACAACAAACCTCTGTCAGTCCATGTAGAAACCAGAACCTGTTTCTGTTCGTCCAGTGTCACACTGATCCAGGGACACTGCACCTCGGAGCTCATGTCTGATAATTAGGCCACATTTAATGGGGACACTTTGTCTTAATTTGATTTAAAAAAAACAGGCTGAAAGCAAACGGGGCTCAATTCAGAGCAGCTGGCCAAAGAACGAATCTGCTGCTGTTTCCAGTTTAAACAGAGATAAAGAAGCTGCTGCTGACGTGGCTCCTGCTATTTGCTTCATGAATCAGTTTGCAACTGGATCCAAAATGGACCTGGCATCAGAACCCAGGCCTGTTAGGACTACAGACTTTCTGTTGATAACCTTGACCTTTAAATTATTTTATTTTGTCCTTGCCTTTAAAATATTTTAACTACATGTCAAAGGGTCATCTTGAGATTGTTTGGGTTCCAGGGCACATATGATCCAGAAAAAAGGACAAAAATCAAAACAAAAACAAATACACCAGTACAAATACGCAAAATAAAAGGAAATCCGTTTCCCCCTTTTTCTTATTGACTGTGTAAAACTAAAATGATAAACGTTTTAAATATATTAAGTTTGACGATAATAACTCAGACAGGATAAATCAACCACGTCGCCATATCGGACACAGCTGTGTTCCGTTTGCTCTGAGGTCACACCGGGACTCCCGTCAGCCGGTTCCGGTTTGTCCGGCGGCTGTCGAGGGCAGCGCTGACGTCAGCGCGTTGGCAAGAGCCACCCCAGCTCCGTTGCGGCTCCAGTCCTGGTTTTACGGTGTGCTGTCCTTGGACCGGTTCGCTTTATGACCAGGTGGTTTGTTGTCAGGCTGATCGAGGAAACGTTCACCTGTTCTCCAGCTGCTGCAGTGAAGCTTTGCACGAGTTTGTACTGAATTGTTCTGCATTTCAAACCTTTAAAATGAAATCGTTAACATTCTTCTACAAGTCGGATGAATAAATCAGCTGTTTGCTATTTATCTGGGTCCCGTTTGTGTTTCACGGTTCACGGACACCACAAAGACACACAACACAATGAATGGAACAGGAACGTGATTGTCTCACAAGGTGTAGCCTGTTTTAGTTTGTCTCCCCATTTACTCAACAGTTAAGTCAAAGGTCAAAGTGTTTGTTTGTCATATGCACAGTTAGGAAACGTGTTTCCCTGTACAATCAAATTCTTACTTTGTTGTCCACATCAATGCCACAAAATACTAATGAAATATAAAGTAGATAAATAAGTAACACAACATCTAAGGCACTTTAAGCAGCAAATGAAGAGATATAATAAAAATATATAAGAATATAATAAGAGAATTATGCTGTTGAGGATTCAGTGCTACAAATATTTACTATATTACACATTATATTATTAATCATCGTTGATTTACAATGCAAATAATTAGTTTGATAACCTGTCATTTAAAGTGGTACTTTGCTAGTAATCCTGCCCTTAACTTAGTGAAGCCAGGAGGCCAAGTTCTGGTGTTTATCGGCCACTAGATGGTCAGTGGCGGTGGTGGGGGCCGCCATTTCGGACTGAAGACGCCAACGGAGGCCGCACGAGTCCTACAAATAACTTATTGGACACAGACGTGACTCAGAAAGTGGAATCCAAGTGGAATAAAGGAAACCCGTGTCTGGCACTGAACTGTAAACAGCTTGTAAATGGTTATATTAGTAGAATTATGTAATTCCACCTTAAACTCGTCTTTGTACTGGACCTTCTAGCCCACTACCCATCTTACCCATCATTCTCATCGTCCAGTAAATGTTTGACAGTGGAATGGAATCAATTTGGTTTTGTTCTTGTACGTTTTACTGACGTAAAGTTGTTTGTTTTGTTTTTTTACACAGTCGCTTTCAGTCCAAAATGGCGGATGTGTAGCTGGTCTTGTACGGGAACGTTCAATTAGCTTTAAGTTCTTGAAGTTGTACGTTATTTTTACATCCATGACTTAAAGGTGAGCGAGTCACGTGACCCGCTGTCGTAACTTTGTCTTCTTAACCTTTACGGCTAAGCGGAAAACATGCGACCTTCTAGTTACCGCGAGACCCTGAGATCACGGGAATACGGAGCTGTTACTTGACACAGAACGTGGCGGCGACGGACGGAACCACAATATGGATTTAATGCACCAGGACCACTACCTGAGCGAGATTAAGGAGGAGAACCAGGACCCGGATTTCGACGACCAGGATCACTGTAAGAGCGAGATAAAGGAGGAGAACCAGGACCCGGATTTCGTCTACCAGGATCGCTACATAGTCGGAGTGAAGGAGGAGAACCCGGACCACCGGAACAACGAGTCCACACAGGGGAACAAAGCAGACTCGTCCCCTGGGCCCAGCGGACCGGAGGTCAGTGATCAGGACTTACTAAAAACATCAAAACTAAAAGTCGTGTAATTCTTTTTGCCAGTTTGTATAGCATCGGCGAAGCAGGCCGTTTTTACCGGGTGACATGATAAACAAACCGGGTGTAAGCAAAGGCCCCTACCCGACTGATGTGGACGCGCACACGATCGGGAACATCAGGACCATTTGTGGTGGAGTCAAATTGAGGCCCAGAAGGCAACGCAACGAAAAACTGTTTTAATTCTGTGCTCGTCGCATCCGAAAACGTGATTTACCTCATATATGTACATGTAGTGGATCTACTTAGGCCCTTATAACGTTTATGGACTCCATGATATCCCAGTCCAGACCTGGACAGCACCGAGGGCGGCTCCGTTTCCCCCATAATGCCATTACCGCTAACGGACCGACGCTCCAGTGGCATCATGGGGAGCCGGAGCCCTGTGCTCCTGGAGGCCTGTCTGGTTTTACACTGCACTACCGGTGTCACTGTTCATCAGGCAGTGGTGCAGTGACGTTTAAACATCTCTCTGAACCACTGGGGTGGTCAGGTTACTGCTCCAAACACAAGCGGCCAGTGCCCAAGCTGTGCATTGTGCTGTGGTGCACGCTCGTCAGACAGCCTCATGTCAGTCTCGGGGTGCACAGGAAGCCTCTGCCAGGCAGCCGGCACTGTGTGAGCATGTATGTTTCAGAGTCCAGTCCTTGGCCATGGTGGACGGTCCTGCAGCTCTATAAAGAAATGTGATGTGATGCTTCGGTCATTGTAAGGCTGAACATCAGTCACTCACACCTTCTGGCTTTGTCCTTAGCAAAGTGGCGCAGTGGAGCAGCTCCAAACCGACTGGGAGGCTGCGGCGTGTGAGTGTCACATGGCCCGAGCGTCTCCTCTGAGCTCTGGGGGTTTGGGGATGTGGTGATGAGCCAGCGCCAGACCATCAGTTACTGACAGTAATGGATCACAGGTGTAAATGGATCGGCCTGTGTCTTAATGGAGCAGTGGGTGGCCCACACAACATACCAGCTGCCTGATGTTCCTCACACTGTGCACGTGGGATTATCAGTTTAATATGAAGCGAAATTAAACCCATAACAAGGATCAGTATAAAGTCTGGCTTCACTTCACTGCTTCATCATGTGCTGCCAGTTTCATGTCCAAAGTGTGCACACACAGGTGAGAGTTTACCTGCAGCTGGACACATGGGAAGTGACGTGCATGTTTCAAGCCATTTTGTGCTCACGCTGCTTTATAAAATAACGTCCTGGGTGAGGCGGCTTTGAGTTGTGGAGCCTGGCTGAGCAGCTGAGAGCAGCTGACGGCGTCTTCACTTCCTCTGTGATGCTGCTTATTGATTGGTCTCCCCTGTGAAACGGTGGGACTCGAGGGTTAAATAAGGATCAAATCAAATGTCTCTGCTGTTATTTATGCTACTTATTCATTTGTATTTCTGTTTACGTTTTATTCCCTCTTAAATGTACTGAACAAGAATCCAAAGAGCGAAGCTACTGAATGTTGTTTCGGTGTTGCAGCCGTCGCTGCTGCTCACACCAGGTTTCATCAAAGCAGCTTGTCAGGATTAAAATGAGCTTGCAGCCCGTTGTCCGTCTCCTACTACAGTGCAGAGGCGTCGTTTGTGTTTTAACATTTCACTAATGATTTGTTGATCTGGGAACTTTGAACCTGTGAATATTTTGTCTTATGCTACTTTATTAAGTCTTGATACTTTCAGACATGAAGTCACTGGTCGTTTATCAGAGTAGCGTGGAGGCTTTAGGGGAGTGACGACACTTATCCCGTGAGAACGAGACAATATTTTAAGACTTTTTCAGAAATCTTCACTGATGAAATATACAACTAGAAAAGTCTTTTATTTGACTGAAAGTGACAAAATACATTTTGAAATGTTTTAACTAATCATCTTGTAATAAACGTCCCTTCAGTTCTACGTGGAGTCGCTACATTAGCAGCATAGCTAACCAAAACACAACGGAAACTCACGGGCTGGAAGCGTGAATGAAGCCGCTCACGTGGAGTCGGCACAACATGGCTGTATCATGCACACATACAACACTCCCCCTGCACCCCCCGTCCCCCCAGGGTGGGGGGGCCTTGGCTAGAAATATTGTCACGTTTTAATATCGTGGGATCTTGTGGCACAGGATCTCGTCACACCCCTAGTGGGCTTGTTTGGAGATCTGCTCCAGTGAACTGCAGACGTGTCCAGCTAGTGGACTGAGCCGCCTCCATCATGTTCTCTTTCCTCTTCGTTGTGGGACTGAGACTGCACTGAAATTTCCCGCTCTCTCGAATATTCGGATAAGAAGATTGAAAAGTGACTACCTATCCAACGAATGACTATCCAAAGAGTTGAATACTTGGTTTCAGCCCTAATTATTATTGTTGTTGTTATATTCTTTGCTGATTTTTCCAGGAGAATGTTTTTTTGGTTAACTGTTAAATTCATCAAGAAGGCACAAGTTTTCTGTTGATGCTGTGTTTTAAAAAAGTCTTAATTTACCCAGAATTCCTAGCACATTAGTCTTACTTGAGAGTTAAACAGCTTTGTGCAGCAGATATGTTTAGACATCTAAAGCCTGGCTGTTAGATCTGAGCCGTAGTCGGGGTCTAGGCTGTGAAACCGGCCTCTGAAGTATTCTAAGAAATGGTGGTCTTTGGTCTGAGAGGCGGGGGCTGAAGGATGCAGTGAAACATTTAATGAGCTCCAACTCTCCTCCTCTGTTCCTGTTTGTCCCTGTAGAGACAGATCAGCCCAGAGGGACCCAAACATGCACGTTGTCCACAGCCTGACAGAGCCTTCGACTCATCATCACCCCTGAAGAGCCAGAGAGTTCACACCGGAGAGCGACTGTACAGGTGCAACCGATGTGGAAAAACTTTCACTGAAAAGCGTTTAAAACAACATCAGCGACTTCACAGTGGAAATAAACCGTACAGCTGTGACCAGTGTGGAAAAATGTTTTCTTCTGTGAACAGTCTAAAAACCCATCAGCAGAGCCACACTGCAGAAAAACCACACAGCTGTGACCAGTGTGGGAAACGGTTCAGGGCACGATGTAACCTGAACATCCACAGACGGGTGCACACCAGAGAGAAACCATACAGCTGTGACAGGTGTGGAAAAACATTTAGCGTGAAGAGCGGCCTAACTAAACACGAACGTATTCACACAGGAGAGAAGCCGTATGGCTGTGACCAGTGTGGAAAAGCTTTCACTTGTAAAGGTGGTCTAAATAAGCATCAGCTGTTACACACAGGAGAGAGGCCGTACGGCTGTGACCAGTGTGGGAAAACGTTTATCCTGAAAAGTCGATTAAAGTCCCATCGACAGATTCACACCGGAGTGAAACCACACAGCTGTCAGCAATGTGGAAAGTGTTTTATTCTGAAGAGTGACTTGATTATCCATCAGCTACGTCACAATGGAGAGAAATTGTACATCTGTGACCAGTGTGGAAGATCGTTTATTCGGAAAAGTGACCTGAACGCCCATCAGCAAATTCACACTGGAGTGAAACCACATATCTGTGAGCTGTGTGGGAAATCGTTTACTCTGAAAAGAACCCTTATTGCCCACCGACGAATTCACACAGGAGAGCGGCCGTACAGCTGTGACCATTGTGGAAGAACATTTACTCAGCAAACTCAAGCCATTTCCCACCAACGAATTCATACTGGGGTGAAACCGCACAGCTGTGACCTCTGTGGAAAGTCTTATTCTCAGAAACGCCAGCTAAAGACTCATAAGCTGTCGCATACAGGAGAGCGGCCGTACAGCTGTGACCAGTGTGGTAAGACGTTTACCGCAAAGACTAACCTAAAACGACACCAACAGATTCACACTGGAGAGAAACCGCACAGCTGTGAACAATGCGGAAAAACCTTTTCTCAAAAAGCTCATCTAAAAACTCATCAGCTAACGCATGTAAAGGAGAGGGGCCACACAGCCGAGACCAGTGTGGGAGGCCTTTTTCCTGGACAAGTGGACTGAATTACCATGAAGTCACACTGCATGCACATTGTGACGTTTTGACCACTGCAATCGAGGAGTTTGAGACCCACCATCTCATTCCACTGCACTATAGAGGTCTGAGCAGACGCAGACCAGCTGATTCCCCCGCCTTCAGGTTTTCAGCTAAACGTAGTAAAACACATCTAAAGCACCTGTCTGGCTTCTCATTACCATCACTTCTTATTGCTCATTAGCCATTTTAAACACGGATACGTTTAACTGTCATTAGCCTGAAGGTGCTGTGTGTGAGATTTGGTGACATCTAGTGGCGAGGCTGCAGATTGCAACGTTCAGCAAAGCTCTCACACATTAGTTTAGATTCAACTTTATTGTCATTACACATGTACAAGTACAAGGCAACTAAATACAGTTTAGCATCTAACCGGAAGTGCAACACATCCTCGGACCTCACAGCCGTTTCACAGCCCTTATTTTAAATGTAGGACAAACTGTGCACTTGGAAAATGAGTGTGGCTGACGTGACTGGGGTAAAGTCAACGGCAGCTCACTGGATCGTAGTGGGTTAGTCTGGCTATGTTCCAGCTAAAGCTGTCAGATCAGAACATCCATTCAGGTACATGTTGGGCCAAATTACCGGTTAGGAAATGGACCCCCTCCCCCCCACCAAGCCAACACGCCTCCCCACAGCTGCAGCCTGTAATAGTCCTCTAAGACGTCTACCGTCTCCTGTGGCAGAGTGAAGATTTGATGCTTTCCTGTTTTTCCCCACTTACTGTACGGTGGGACAAACAGAACAGACAACCTGAAGTTGACAGTTTGGACTCTGGGACATTGTGTCATTTATCCCCAGTATGTTGGTACCACAGTCGCTGTGCTGTGTGTTTGGTTTCTCGCTGCCTTTACTGTGAGACAGTTGTTATTCAGTGTGAGTCTCCCTCTGATTCCTGCCTCTGTCTAAGCAGCTGGACTCAGTTGTATGTGCTTTATTTTTGGCACCATGCACTTTTGTGACTTATTGTGCTTCTCGTGGTGTTTGTGTGTGGTGTATTCAATAAATCTGTACAAATGAAGACGAGTTCTCTGCTTCTTCACAAGACAAAACCTTTGCTCTGACCATTTTTTGACTAGTGACACGTTGATGCTGCTGATCCATCGTGTTTCTGAACATGTTTACAGACACAACACCTGTCAATGTTCATGTCCACAGGTCGAGTCCCATCTGTTTCCACAGGGACGTGTCGGCACCAGTGGCGGTGCAGAGCTCTGCTGCCACCTGCTGGCGGCTGGTTGCTGCTGCGCTCCCTGAGCTCACATCCTGGAGTCAGCTCTGTGTGTCAGACTGTGCTACAGACGTCACAGACACACTGCGGGAGGTTACGGTCAGTCAGCAGCCCACACTGGGACATGTCTCAGCCTTTCATCCAGTCTGTCCGACTGTCGGGGGAACTACTCTGATAACGTAGCTTTGCAAACTACCAGTTACTCCACACTAAATTACAGCAAAGCTGCTCTAAAGGGAAATGTAGTTTGGTAAAGTTAGAAAACGTAGTTCAAACTACTTTGTCAAACAAACTGACGGTACATGTGATACCAAATTATAGTCAAAGGAAACGTGTGCCAGTACAAAATGTCACTGAGCTGAGTTTATTTACCCAAAACAAAAAGACCCCGTCCTAAACAAAACGGCCTCATCCAGCCTGTTGACTGTTTCACTGACTTTAGTGCTGGTCTATAAAAGAAGAGTCACTGGTCTTATCCAGACGGCGCTTGGGGTCAGAGAAGCTATGATAAAGTAAAAATAAACACTTATTCCTCTTTGTATGGTCGCAGTAGTTCACTACACAGACAATGGCCAACATGTAATTGAGCTACTTCCATCACTAGTTAAACTACTTGTAGTTCACTGCCCCTGGTGTCTGAGCCCTCGTCAGTTTGCTGTTTGGAGGTTTCGGTGATTTCAGCTGCTGTTTTTGTGACAAACATGGAAAAATATTTTTCTCATTCAAAAACCAAATGAATCTGGTGGAGACACTGGGTATTTCACTGCTCACAGAGGAATCCACTGACACCAGAAAGAAATTAAGCGAGCACACGTCTGAAGCAGCCAACAGGCTGTCGGGTTTCTACCTTTATACCAAAAGACCCCGAAGCCTACACAAAAGATTAAGTGTTTAATTTAAGGGGTTAAAATCGTCCAGCACTTGTATCTGTTTTATAAAACTGACCTTTTTAACAAAATGTTCTGAATGTCTTAACTTTTAAGTGCAGGTTGTATTATTGTGCATGTCGTTACAATTAAGATGAGATGAAAATTAGCTGCAGGTGGCGTCTGTTACCAGTGATTAAGGTGCAGAGTCGTGGCGATAGATACTTCAGTCAATAACAAGATATTATGAATTCTAGTTCGTGTGAGGAAGGTGACGGCTGCTGACAGTCCTCAGTTTGTGAAACACCTTGAGGGTTAAGACTTGGAGTTAGGGTTCGGTTTGGGCATCAGGTCAGTGAGTCCTCACAAAGATAGAAGTACAGGTGTGTGTGCACTAGGGAGCGGGAAAGGGGAAACGGTGTGAAAGTGTTTTAAATGTGCTGCACAGAAAAGTGCACGTCCGTTTATACTAACAGGTGGATGGATAAACGCTGTTAGGACTTAGATGTGTGACGTGAAGGGCTTGTTGCCATGACAGCAGCATCAGACAGATGTTAAACAGCTGTAAAAACGTACACCTCAGCCTCTTCTGTGTTCCTCTTCAGGTTAATATAAGAATATCTGATTATCTACAGGAACTAAAATCAATGTGGAGGGACGACATAATGCTCCTGTCTCCATGACGACAAGGACGACGTGGTCACCTGGGAACCAGAGGGACAAACGCTCTCACGTGTCCTTGTTGTCTGTTTGCTGAATATTTTAAATAAAGTTTGTAGCTTCCTCATCTTCAGCTCCTCGCCTCCTTCTTGGCATTTCGTGGCTTGTTGCTGAGCAACGCGTCCATCTCAGCGATGAGGGGCGGGGTCAGCTGAGACACGGAAAGAGAAAGTCACCGAATCCAGAGATCTGATTGGATGTTCACAACTATACTGACACTGTATATTCTGGTTTCAGGCGGTCTGGGCAGACGTGCAGACGGACAGGTGTAGAGATGGGCAGACGTGCAGACGGACAGGTGTAGAGATGGGCAGACGTGCAGACGGACAGGTGTAGAGATGGGCAGACGTGCAGACGGACAGGTGTAGAGACGGGCAGGCAAAGGATCTCAGTACTTCCACTGCTGCAGACGGGCAGGTATGGAGACGGGCAGGTGTGGAGATGGACAGGTGTAGAGATGGGCAGACGTGCAGACGGACAGGTGTAGAGATGGGCAGACGTGCAGACGGACAGGTGTAGAGATGGGCAGACGTGCAGACGGACAGGTGTAGAGATGGGCAGACGTGCAGACGGACAGGTGTAGAGATGGGCAGACGTGCAGACGGACAGGTGTAGAGATGGGCAGACGTGCAGACGGACAGGTGTAGAGATGGGCAGACGTGCAGACGGACAGGTGTAGAGACGGGCAGGCGTGGAGACGGGCAGACGTGCAGACAGACAGGTGTGCAGATGGACAGGTGTAGAGACGAGCAAGCATGGAGATACACACACAAACACACACACACACACAGGATCACCATTGTAACATGTGGTACCTCAGAAGTTTGTGTACACTGATTATTGAGTGTGTACGTTTGTGTATTTCATTGTTTGTCTGTTACAGTAGGTGTTTGATCCTATTTGTGTATTTAGTGTCTTATATTGTATCTAATTGTGTATTTTACATGGTGTGTATTTATAGTGTGTATTGTTGTGTATTTCAGTACTATTTACCTTCATGGTGGCTCTGGAGCTCTCGCGGACCCCCTCGTTGTACTTCCCTGTCAGCAGTCCGCAGGCTAACGGCGACCAGGTCATGGCTCCGACACCTGAGAGACAGGTGGACCTCATGTTGGACCACATCATTAAACTGGTCCCTGTTTAGACCTGAACAGCTGCCATCCTGGATCTCAGCTGGGTCCAGTTCTACTTACAGACACAGCAGCAGGTCTAACGCCCCCCCCTGTTTTCTAAGCAGGTCCTGTCCGGCTCCGGTCCAGGACTGGTTTAGCCTAGCTTAGCACAACGACTGCAGGTGGAGGGAAACTGTTAGCCTAGCCTCATCAGAACTACACTTACTTGTACTTTACACTTTCTGCTGCTCTGTACTTCTACTGTACTACATTTCAGAGGTAACCACTGCTTTTTACTGCATGACACTGTTACTATCACTACTACAACTACTACACTGTTTGTGTGTGACAGCTGTAGTTACTACATGTCTGCATGGTACGCAGCAGAACGTGACCGAGTTCAAATGAGCTTTACTTCGACCAACAACACAAACGTATCTGTGTACTGTGGTAACACAACGCTGACAGGGGCCACCCTGTCGGACCTGGTACTGTGAGTTACATGTCTCATACTGTACTTTAGTCTTCAGTAAATATGTCTCTGAGTGTGTGTGTGTGTGTGTGTTGTGTATTGTACCGATCTTGTGGTAGAGCTCAGGCAGGTGCAGCTCCACTTTGTCTCTCTGGAAGTGATGATACTCAGCCTGCTCACACACCGGGGTCACCAGGTGAAACTGTCGGGCTACGGAGTAGGCGTCCTGTCAGATGGACAGGTGTGACACAGGTAGACGGGAGGGACAGAGGTGGACAGGTGTGACACAGGTAGACGGGAGGGACACGGGTAGACTGGTGTGACACAGGTAGAGGCGGGAAAAGGATTAAACTAGGTTTGACTTAAATGCAGCTGCTACCAGGTTCTACTGAGACTTTACTAAGGTTCTACTGAGGTTCTACTGAGGCTGGGTGCCGTGTCCTACCATGATCTTCACGGCGCTCCAGCGTGACGTCCCCCAGTACATGGCCATGCCGTGATCGATCACAAAGGTCATGGCTCGAACAACCTCTGCAACCAGAGACGATTTGTAACATCAGGAACAAGCTGCAGCGTCATCACAGCGGGCGGGTCCAGCTCCTGATGGGCCACAGGCTGACTACGGTTCACCAAAGCCAGGCTGCTGTGGTGTCAAATCAAGCCATTCCTTCAGTTTACATAGTCTGCTGCCACACGGCGCCACGGTGTCGCTCTGTGACATCGTGTTTAGTAAAGAGTCTGCAGCTCAGCAGCGACTTGTGAAGGACAAACACAGACGTGTTGGTGCAGAACATTAGGACGACTACTAGACTTGGGTTTAAAGATCGGCCTGGTCTGATACAGAGTCCGTCTGTCGGCACCTCCTGGTTCCTGATGAAGACTCAGCAGCTGCAGCAGGTGATGAAGAGCAGGAATACGTGAAAAATGACCTGTATGACCTACTGACGTCTGTAAACTTCAGGGAGAATGTCTCTTCTGTCTGTCCTGTTTCTGATTTGTCAGTTAATGGTCCAGAAATGACTCCCGCTGTCCCAAATCTCAGACTCGAGGTCCTTTCACCAGCTGTTCCTGAGCTTTTAACCCTTTCACATGGTCTTCACCAGCAGACGGAGTGAACCCGAACCTGTGATAACCAGCTCGACCAATCACAGCCAGGGAGCTGGCTGAAAACATGACCCGGTAAGATAAAGGACACCCACACGCTGCTGTCTCTTCACATGGACAACACACCACGTCTTCCACCGTTTGGGAGGTTTCCTCATGTTCTTGTGCACATTGTTGTTTCCCAGCAACAGCAGCAGACACGCAGTGAGCGGTGCCTGGATGAGGCAGGAAGAAGGACATTCAAGGACCACATGGTGATCGCAGGTCGGGTTTCAGGCACCGACTCCAGAGTTCAGGCTCACTTCCTGTCCTGTCTCCCTTCCTGGGTTTGACAACAAAACCGACCAGCTTTGCAACACGTCCCCATCGCAGGGCGTCAAACACTTTGTCAGGTACCACTGGCTTCAGACACTACAGAGTCAGGAAGCTCCTTGGCTTTAATCAGAACCACGTGGTTCTGTTTAGGGAAAGCAGGAGAACTGGGTTATACCACTATAGACAGCATCACCAGGTGGGCAGCGATACTGCTCCGCTGGCCCTGCTGTCAGTGCAGTGAAGCCAGTGAGGAGCAGCAGCCACAGCT